TACTTCGCAATGTAAAGCATGCTTTGCGTTGTGTGGATTCAGTGAAGGTAGGTGTACGTTCTCGTACCACTCTTCGCGTCCCTCTGGGATATTTGCCCATACGCAAGCTATGCCAGCCATGTTGTTCCGATTTCGCAGCGAGGTTTGTCGCAAGTTCAGTAGCTAAAATTCCTCTGGTTCCAGGGGTCCAAAGTGTTAAATGCAGGTGTTTGTGCCGAGCTGTCAGTCAACGTTTGCAACGGGGAAAAGATGGAGGGACAGCTAGTCTGCAACGTGACGCGGCTGTTGCCATATTATGACAGACCCTGATTCACAGCTGTGTATGATAGTCCCTACGAGACGGTCCGACCGTATTTTGCTCGACCAGTCCACCCTGTTTCGGAGGTAGATAAAGCGGTATATACGCCGTCGCTTAGCCAATGGACGATGATGCGAGCGGACGTGATTGGCTATTGATACCTGAGACGCAAGGCGATAAATTCTTTCAGGACGTAGGCTAATGTGCATGTGTCGTAGGCGATCGACGTTCCCCACAACCTGCCACGAATGCCTGAAGTCGGAGAATTCGAAGCGCGGGTAGCGCCGAAAGGATCAGAGATGTGCGAGCATCAGCCGATTGATTGATGCCAAATCCATGGCTTCACCGGTTGTTCGTGTAGGATTTTCTTATCTGAATTCTTGAAGGTATAGGAAGCGCATTGTGCATGTCAGGAGTGGCACTAAGGTTGGGCCTTCTTGCGGTCCGCTACGACCCTAGCGCCGGCAGCACAACGGCGTTACCCCCGCTTAGGGGCCTTGGACGCCTGTCCTTACAAGACACATGCCTGTCGACACCTCGTGAGCCAACCTTGGCCCAAGTCACGATGCTTCTGTTTCTCTCAAACATTCCGAAATTCTGCGACTTCTTCACGGGCCGAATCGTAAAAGTTGCCCTCGCTCGGTGACTGACGTGTATGCGGTTTTGATCATCTGACCAGATAGATGAATCGCCGGTTATATAGAGCCGCCTGCAGTCGCACGTGAAAGCGAGCTCGGATTTTACCAGGACACCCTGAACGGACTACCAGTCGATCGGTCGTAGGCAGATCGACGCGCAAGGAGATCTCGCTGTTCGTGCCCGTGCTGAGGAAGGTGCTTTTTCTCACAGACATGGTTCGCTGGGCCCATGACAGTATAGTAAACTTGGATTTTGCCCCAGGCCCCTGGACGAGTGCGCCATAGTGATCTACTCTCGCGGCACTATGTACCCACATCTGTGCCGTACCTCAAAAGCCACAGATTTCTGAAGAAGGCAACATTCGCGATTGCCACACCTACAATTCAGGAAACAGAGGTCCCAACAAAAATCTCGGTCTTCAATCTGGTACAACACATGGGTCCTACGGAAGACGAAGTTCAATCAAGATCGAAGTTGAAATCTGGTTCGTGGCTTACCGGCTCTATGGGTATCGGAAGAAGAGCTGCCTTGTACGGAAGAAAGCCCGTGCTTTCGCGGTCCAGAAACGAGAGTAATCAATCGTGTCCGCACGGATGGGGTTAGAATGATCATCAACAGCGTTCTTCCAGGCGGGTAACAAGGGGGCGAGGAGCGACTACACCACAGGTCTATCCTGAGCATGCGCGGAAGCAGGCTACATCGAACAGCAGAGCTCGAAGATCTTGAAGTGGCGTGGATGCATCTGCCGACTGTCGCTAGATCATATAGCCGTCTGCCCCAGCAAGCCATACTGACAGCTTCTATGAATAGCAGCGCCTCAGCGCTTCTCAACAGACAACGGAAGAACATCGTCAGTAGATGAGCACTAACATGCTTCCCGTGTGGGCAATCAAGTACCTAGGAATATCAGAGATCTGTTAAGTTCTCCTGCCAGATCGTGCAGATTCCGGAAGCAGGGACGTGGTAGATGCCATGGCGTACGGACTTGTAGAGAAAGTCAGACCGGAAGGCATAGGCGACTCCGCGTATATATAAGCTTCACACTTCATCAGTCATAAACTCAGTCTCATAGTCTCTGTCAGGCTTTTGCATACAGTCTTGCTCCTTCACAGTTTCGTACCCCAAACTCCAAGATGCGTATCTCTATTCTCTTCGCTGTCACGTCGAGCTTCTTCGCCCTTGCCTACAGCGCTGGAAGTGCCGTCCAAGGCACGGGATCAACCACACGCCAATGGTCCTGCTGCAAGAACTCCTGCTCTTGGCCCGGCAAAGCTCTTGTCGATAAGCCGGTCCTGACCTGCGACGCGAGCGACAATCTCCTCGACAACTACAACAGGCGCGACGGCTGCGAAAGTGGCGGTGGCTCATATGCATGCTCTGATCTCAGCCCATGGGCTGCGAGTAACGACTTGGCGTATGGCTTCGCCGCAGTCAATCTTGCAGCTTCGAACGAATCCGCGTGGTGTTGCTCTTGCTACTCGTATGTTCCTTCAATTTAATGAACGAGCAGTGACTGACCGACTCTAGTCTGACGTTTACTTCCGGGCCAGTCAACGGAAAGAAGATGGTCGTCCAAGTCACGAACACCGGGTCTGATCTAGGAGAGGATCAGTTCAACATTGCCATCCCTGGTGGTGGTGAAGGTTCTACCCAAGGATGCACGAAGCAATATGGCGGCGCGGATGTCTGGGGTCAAGACTATGGTGGCGTAGCGCATCGCGACGACTGCGACGCCCTCCCTTCTGCGCTGCAAGCTGGCTGTTACTGGCGGTTCGACTGGTTTCGAGGAGCTGACAATCCTTCGGTCAACTGGGAGAAGGTGAAGTGCCCTGAAGCTTTGTCTGGCGTGTCTGGCTGCCGCCGCAACGATGACCCAATCCCGGGGCAGAATACTCCTTCGCCGACGCCTACAACATCCGCCCCCATATCTTCTGGTACTGTACAACCGGGAGGTCAATGTGGTGGCAAGTCTTACAAAGGTCCCACCCGATGCGTAGGAGGCACCGTCTGTACCTACGTCGACGAGAATTCGTACTATTGCCTCGCGGACCCAGCTAACACAAGAACAACTCCAACGACTACAACCTCTGCTAGTGCCGCACCTACCATCGGCCTACCGTATGACCAATGCGGCGGGAATGGTTGGACTGGTCCCAGGACATGCAAGGACTCGGTGTGCGTGAGAGTCGATGAATGTGAGTCGCGCTGCTTCGATCATGTCATGCGTGCCATCCCGAATCTCTTACTGACCTATTGTAGATTACTCGCAATGTCAGCCACCGGTCTCATCTCAGAGATCCACCAGCACGCGAACTCAGACAACTGCTAGACCTACATCCACTCCGCCTGCTCAACCAGCACCGCCGTTCACTCGCACCCGGCGCACGACAACAACTAGGCCTGCCTCACCAGTGGCTACGGGTCCGGTACAGCTCTATGACCAGTGCGGTGGGCAGACGTGGCAGGGCTCGACGACTTGTAACCAGGGCCTGGTTTGCTTCAAGGTCGACGAGTACTATTCGCAGTGTCAGAAACCATCCTAGGGATGCGAATGCGAATGGTTTCGGTGTGATGAGTCTGAAGCCTCCGGTTCATCGCAGGTAGAGAAGTGTTGCGATCGTATATGTCAGAATTAGTGGGAGGAGGAACTCATAGCTTGCCGAAATACAATGGGAATTTGGATGACACTAGATGCAAATGAGTATCGCGTTCAAAGACGTAAATTCGGTCGTCTGTTGCAAGGACACAACGACTCAGCTGCATCGTTCATATCTTTCTCTTCATCCGTCCTCTCTGACCCAACTCACAGCTTCGCCTTCACCCCAAAACTCTTCTGCACAGCCTCAACCCCCCTCTTCGCAACATCCTCATCCTGACTCGGCAACCCCGTACTACACCCCACCGCCCCAACAACAACCCCATCCTTCACAATCGGGACACCACCGGCAATCGTCATAAACCTGCCTCCATTGCTGTGATTGATGCCATACGCCGGCCCACCAGGATACACATTGTCTTTGTAAACAGAGGTAGGCGCGCGATGACCTGCAGCTGTGAAAGCCTTGTCGATGGCGATGTTGATGGATGTGAGTTTTGCGCCTTCCATGCGGGCGAATGCTAGGAGATGGCATGCGTTGTCCATGATGGCGATGTTCATTGGTACGTTGATTTCTTTGGAGCGCTGCTCGGCGGCGGCGAGGGCGATGCGCGCGCCATCGAGGGTTAGCGTTGGGATGGATTTTGTGCTCATGATGGCTTTTGGTAGAGAGGTTTGATAGTCTGATGGTAGCAACGCGCTGCTGGACGCGGTGTTATGGTGCTGATGATGGACCTCGGATATTGCAGGATAATGACGTAGGGGCGCTTTGATTGGCCCGTGTTGCGGAAGCGCTTGCTTTCGCGCGGGTCCGCTTCATCGAAGACAATATCAGCTCATAATGTTCATTAATCATACCTGTTCTCGCATTTATCCTTTGATGGGATGCCGATACCTTTGCGATTGGTGTCATGAAGTTCCAGCGCACAGCCTGGACTGATGTCTCGGCAAGCAAAGCTCACATGAAAAGCCCTAGAGGACTCCGGAAGCGCGAGCCCGGGAGTATGCTATACGGTGGCCTGCGATGACGATAGCCCAATCAACGAGATTGCTTGGCCTGTTTTGTAAAATGACAATATTCGTCGATGACTTACATTTCAAGTCTACCTGGCCACATCTCGTTCTTGGTCTGTTCGGTCATCTGTTCACATCTCGCGGTTTCCTATGTCCACGTATTTCTTTCTCGTTCAAAAATTTGAAGAAGCAGAAACAGATAACCTTTCAATCTATCAGTTCTTAGCGAAGATTTGTCGGAGTTCGAGGTAGGGTCAGTGGTCGCTCTGCGGAGCGCCAACAATAATATGTATTGTCATGCGTATTGGGATCTGAGTTCTGGCATTTGCCAGAGACTGCCTGTGCATCGTTATGGCTTCCTTTCACTCTATGGCGATGGGCAGTATATGTCCAAGGGTATGTAGGCGGCCACTGGACGACATTCACGCGTCTTTTCCACCTTCACTTGCCAAAATGCCTGATACGCGAATATGGACCCGTGTTTACCAGTGCGTCATGTGCCATTCACGACGCGATCTCCAGAATCTTTTCTCTCAACTCACCCAACTCTTCCTCGTTCCACGAACGTCGACCCAGCGTCACGATAGCCCGACAGTAACGGAAAAGTTCGCGACCTACTTCGCTATCACGACCATGAAAGAAGAAGATATCCTCGCGCGCCAATCCCGTCCGCAGAAACATTCTACCTGGGTTCCCAAAAGCCGCGACTGGCGTTATGCGACCGGTGTTTTCCAACACGATGATAACGAAACCGCGCCCAACGATCGGTCGGCGTGGGACGACATGGACTACGACTATCAGGTCGCCGATCCGGGAAAGAGCAGGAGTCGGAGTGGCAGTGGGCAGAGCTATGGCGACATCAAAGCGGTCGATGTAAGCGCCCCGGTGTCGGCAACTCCAAAAAGCGCAAAGAAGAGAGCCCTCTCGGATATCCCGAAAGCCACCGTAAAGATCCGAGCATTCAAGAGGAAGTCAAAGTCAAAGGCTGCAAAGAAGAACGTATGGATGTCAGTAGCAAGGCGCCAACGGATCAGCCATGACGATGTAGAGGGCGCAGAGCCAGACTACCGGACCTATAGCTTGACCGTCAGGTTGCGCTTCTCAGGCAGGCTCATCATAGAGGATGCGCTTCCGGCTGTATCAACACCAGGCCCTATGCATCTCCAACAAATACCAGACACACCTGCGAACTTCAGCATACCCTTCGATCCTCATACCCCCGCCACAGCTCGCACCGCGGTCTCACTCTACACACCGCACATGTCGCATTCGGGCGAATCCGTACACACATATCCGCCCTTCCAGCGTCCGTGGGTAGACGAAACGAAGGACTTCAACATGCGGGCAGTCCGCGGCGTTCTACAAAAGACCGGGTTCGTAGGAAAGGACCTCGGAGTGCATTATACATGGTACAACGACGCAGTTCCCGTAGACGCTCTGCTACCCCCTGGAGTACCTCTATCCGCCAAAGAAGTCATGGCCTACTACCCCCACCACGTCCGGTGGAAAAGCATGATGGTCCGACTAGCGAACAACGACTATCGCGGTGCGGATATCGTTGGTATGCAGGTAAGCCGTCGTCTTTCTAGTGCCATGAGATGATTGATATCTGACAATGCACAGGCATTCTTCCGTGGCCCCCCAACAACGGACATCACAGCCGCAGTCATGAACCAGTTCCAACGCGACTCCGTCGAGAAGATCATCGAGAGCTTCAAGACCGACACTATTAACGGAAATCATGATGCAAACTTACATACCGACCACCTGAAGCCAGGTAGATACATCGCGGACAGACGCAGCGGCTACGTCATGCCGACGTTTGGTGATCTCTTGGGTGGTCTGAACCATCTACCGTCTGGTCTTGATGCGCGTGGCCTGACAGAGTGCCTGAGCTGGTATCTCCATGTCCGGGACTCTTTCACACCGAGGCTAGAGTTGAACGTCCTGCATACCCAAGCTTTGATTCGCGCGCTTCGCATACCGCTCAAGCGGTATGGACCGCAGAATCTAGATTGCAATGCGCTCAAAGAGTGGAAAGAGAAGGGGAGGTATGAGGAGCGGAAGGTGTACTACGAGCCAGCTAGACCTACTTCTACAGAACCAGGGGATACCGCGCAGAAGAGGTCGCGACTGCACATGAACCTAGACAACCACGAAGTCAAACTCGACTACCAACTCCAGCTCCGTCACGTCCTCACAACCCCTTTCCTCGCTCTACACAGGGCCATGGGCGAGGCGCTCAAACTGGGTATCGAGAAAGCCGAGAACCGGATGACTGAGCGGGTGAGCGCTGAGGGGAAAGAGATGTTGGAAGCTAAGTGGGCTGCGAGAGTAGCCGAGAACGCGGAATCAGAAGAACAGGTACAGAATGTGGAAGCGCAGCAACTACAAGCGATGATGCAGAAGCCCGAACCGTTGTTCAAGTAGAGGGTAGCGCGGAAAAGCCACATTGCGTTCCCCGAACGAGCCTCACGGCGGAAGCACTGCGTACTCTTGCTCCTGCACCGAGGAGAATATCTGCTTCGCAGCCACCGAATGGTGGGCCACTTGGTCACCATGTTGCAGGTTCATCGACGCAAGCGTTTGGTAGACAGTCTCGTGGAACGCCTGAGCCTATGTACCTTGACCGGGCTTGGGGCACGCCATCACCTTCTTCCGCATATGCGCCTCGCTCAGTGTATGGTAGGAGGGAATATGAGTCGCCAAGGCAGACAGATCAAAGGAGTGGAACGCAGCGTGGTGGATGGGGAGATAATCGTGGTGGATCGTATCGTCCAAGAGATCGGTAGGGGCGATACTTTTATTGGCGGATGAGGGTGGGATGAAGATGACGTAGTCACATGATGGGAGCAAAATCGATGTTATGATGACTTTCCGCGAAAACGTAGTATGATGTCGGGCCCGGAGAGCGATAGAAGGTTTCAAGTAAAGTCAGCAGGGTGTAAAATGGAACAGACGTACCCCGCGCTCAGCGGGATGTAGGCAGCAGCCATTACTGTGCCACTTGACATCGCGACTACTCACCAACTTTCGAAATAGTATGCACTTACGCACCTATCCACCAAAGTATCGTGTTTTTGAACAGTCAAGCAACATGTTCAAAGTCCTGTCTGTCATCGCAGGTATAGTAGCAATCCGGCTTGCTATCTCCTACGCCCAGGCCGTCGCAGTTGAGCTCCGGGAAAAGCCCACGTCGATGTCGCCAGTAGTTGGTATTTCGCTCACTGCAAACCAGGCGACAGCGGTAGTTCGGTGGCCGGACGGGACTTTCGAAAACCTGGGCCGAGTGGAGGCATCGAAGGCGTATGTGAAGATGATGCGACGCCTCTCTTTGCCTTCTTCGGTGCATCTAACGTGAGTTGCGGGATCATTGTACTTATGTATACAATTACTGACCATGTAAATTACAGCGAACCTTACGGCAGCATGGAAGACTTGTGGAACGACGCTCCACGAAGAGCCTGGCGAAGCGCACGAAAGAAGCTCGGTCTGGCCGCCTCTGGCGACGTAGCAGTATTAGCCAAGATGCTAAAGGCAACGGTGAGGATGGCAGAAAGTGAACTTGGATCTCCCATATCGGCGATACAGAGCTTCCCTGCGCTACTCGCTTTATACCAGGAAGATATCAAGGATGCCGCGGAGCACGCAGGTTTGCGTATGCTGGCGACCGATTCCGGGCTACAATTACACGAGCTCATCGCTGCGTATGCCGGCCATGGAATGGGCCTCTCTGAGAGCGGTTCCGAATGTCAAACATCAGCCGGATTTCCTGGGTGCCACACAGTCATTGTGGAATATACTGAGGATGCTATCTTACTCGATGGTCGACCGCTGGATCGCGCTCACGATATCGCGAACTACGATGATGATGATATTCGAACAAGTTTTGATCTTGGCAGCAGAAGCTCGGCAACGGAGGAGCAAGTACGCGATTTCGTTCTAGAGTATCTGCGTAAAGTGTACATTGGTTACACGAAGAGGCCCTGGGTCTTTCCCAAAGAAATCAATGTCATAATGACGGGAAGCCGAGATAGCGTTGGTTGTGAAGAGATTCGGATGGCAATCGCAGATGCATTCAGCTTATTTGGAACGCGGGCCAAGATGCTGTATTCTGACCCTGAATATGTGGCAGCGAGGGGCGCGGCTGAGATCGCATGGCGAACGCTGCTAGAAGCGGAGAAAAAGAAAGAGAAGATAGAGTTGTAAATGGATACGTGCGACGACATGAAATCGTTCTTGTAAACCTACAGCCTCACAGTCAGCGAGTCACGGATTGACCTTTTCGCACTATGCATGCGAATACGCCTGTGCCACCAAGTTGTCAAGATCGTGCTGACCAGGAAGACCCTCGTAGCAGGCAACGCCACTTAGCAGATCACCCGAGACCGGAATCAACAGTTTTGCGAAAGAATTGCCGGAATGGGTAGGTTGGGATCTGAAACTGCACGTTTTGGCGAGTTGGTGGTCTCTTCGCTTGGATGAATCGGAACCAAACAACTGTGTTGTGGGACCGGAACCTGGTAGGTAAGACTGGACACACGTGGATTGACAAAAACAATAGCTGCTTGGTGTACGAATAAATGCATAGAGATCATCTGCCGTAAAATGGGTCAAGTCAGAAGAGGGTAGGTTGCTTTTTCTGAGATGTCGTCGAATCGCGGATTGTCTTGGAGGAGACGCTAAAGCGTGTCGGAAACGTGGAGAACAGCTTACGCCTAGATACCCCGCCGGCTCATTTGAAGCCTGTCTGAAATGCTGGAATGATTATCGCATGTCTGCGAATATTGTCGTTGGTCTAGCGACGAGAAGATCTGTGATAATGATCTGCACAGGGGTTCGGGCTGGGCACCTCAACGATGACGAGGGCTAGGATGCCGTCGCCAATTCGGCCCTCGCCCGCGCCTGCTTTCCTAGTCGCACGCCCGCCACGCGCTCGTGGCTGCCTCTCCTTATGCAAAGTAGTCGCGCCTCTTACTAGCTTCTTAACTTAATGTATGCTGTTTAGTGGTTTATGTATTCACTCCCACCCGACTGTGACTTGAAGGAGCGCACCTCCGCGGCCAGAACGAGATAGGAGAGGTCCAATGCCCGACCAGCAGCGCCGCTCATGGCACCAGCCTGACGTTACTAATCTGCCCCCCGACTCGTACACTGCCCAGCGACTGGTATGCATGGCTGCAGACTACCGCACGCATGTCGCAAGCTAAGAGGAGTAGGAACATGCCACGCCCGAGCATCTGCATCTCACGACGAGACGCTACTTCATCGGTCCTATCCCCACGGCATGGCTGACCAAGCACCGCTCCGATTGGTATGAGATATCGCTGCAGGAACGGCCTATGCGACATGTACTGACATCGTGCGCCTAGGTACAAGCACCATCTACGAATCAACTACTCGACGCGTACGGCGACCTTCTCCTCAGACCCGCGTGAGGCGCGCCAACGACGACTGAGCGGCCTCGAAGGCCCCAGCTCCTCTGCCCTCTTCCAGCACAGCTTCCCCCAGCCCGAAGAACTTCAAGCAGAAGATGAGGAAGGAGCGCAAGAGCTCGAGGCTAGCGGAGCCAATGGCGCAGCGGATGCGACTGCAGCGACTCCACCCGCCCTACAAGTGCCGCGCGCTTCAGACCACAAGAGCGATGTAGTGGACGATGAAGAAAACGACGAGTTCGTAGACGCGCCCTCGGAGCCGGAAGACGACGACATCGAACGCGTTCCCACCAACGAACGGACAGTCCGCCGATCGAGTACGGACAAGACGTATATCACCGCATCCTCGATACCCGCAGACGAAGATGATGACGATGACGATGACGATGACGAACAAAGATCGGACGAAAGGCCGCTGCAGGAGCAATACCAACAACAAGCACAGGCAAGTGGCTTACAAGTTCCTTCAAGCCAAGGGCAGGCAGGATCAAAGTCATTAGGCAAACGCCCACTGTCGAATGTAGAGAGCCTTGGGAGTCCTGCATCAGCTACCGGAGCAGCCTCTGTAGATGCAAACTCCACATCGTCTTTGCTGCGTAAGGCTGACATGAACAAGGCACCGGCCTCCGCTGATGTCGATTCGAAACCGCCTGCGAAGGGTATAATGGCAAGGGTCAGGAGAAGATCAGGCATGATGTCCTCTTCCGCGGAACTGCCCCAAGATACGGACCCTGCCACGGGAGATTTGACGCGCAAGAAGTCGAACCTTCGGAACCTTGTGAAGTTTGACATCCCGGAGGACTCCCGGCGTGCCACGATCCAGCTCAAGGCGAAGAAGGCGCAAATGACTGTTCAGCGAGCTGGCACCAAGATAAGACGGCAGAAGATCAAGGATGGCCTTGTCGTCAAGATGGAACGCATGCTTGTGCGAGTGGATGCCGCCGCAGAAGTTCCCGAAGACTTTGATGAAAACGTCAACCAAAGGGTCGTCTCCCGCGTCAAAGATAAATGGCGGGAGTACATGGTCGTCTGTCGCCACAGCCATACCAATGACGCAGAATTCTTGCTGCAGCTCTACCAGACTCGGGTACGTTTCTCCATTGCTTTTATATGCGTCAAGCTACTGACTTCGTTCCCAGGTCATCCCGGAGATTGAGAATGCAGGAGCAGGCAAGAAAGCTGCATACGAAGTTCCGCTGGGGAAGAAGACCTGCAAAGTCAATCTCTACTCATCGTTAGACAAGTCAATGGTGGTATCGTCTCCAGGTTCACGCGAGACCCTAATCTTCATCATGCAAGCTCGGACCGCATCCAATGCAGTAGAGTGGTATACCTTTCTCCGAAACGTCCTTGGCTGGCAGCGTGCTTCCGAGCTTCAGATCAGCATACCAGACATGAGCTTGAGCATACGGATCGCCAACCCATTCGAGAAGTTAGAGGCATCGCAAAACAAAGTTCAAGATGCAGAGAACACCGAGGAGGCTCTGCTGAGGACTATGCAAGAGGAACAGGCGGTTGCTCAAGATCTGGTCAGGCGCTGCTTAGATCAACTGCAAGATGCACCGGAGTGGGCTGACGTGCTGGAATCGTGGATCAAGGACCAGCGCATAGGTCTCGCCTGGAAGCGCTATGATCGACTTGAGTGGATACATGGCGCGAACGAGCGCAAGATGTACGGCACGATAGCTATGCTGAAGTCGCACGAACTGGAATTGAGGCCCAAGACACACTATCCTACAACTGCAGTGACAAGGAAGAAGCACAAGACCTTGACTGAACCGGTTCCCGTCGAAGGTTTCCTCATCCGACTGACAGGGCAACGAGGACGGGCAAAGCGACTAGGCCTCATGTACCACAAGCAGCTCTACTTTGCCAGCCACGATCAGTATCTCGTCTTTTCACGACCCACAAAAGTCACCCCACCTCCGCCTCCGAGGCTACCTGCGTCTGGAAATGCCAATGTGCCGACAGCGCAAGCGGTCAAAGACGCGGTGC